GTAACTTGTAATTGTTTGGTTAATAGATCAGGTATCCAAAACGCTTATTGTGTATAGCTCATCATGATTACTTTATTAGAAATATTTGTTATATACGTAGCAAAATTCGATTCAATAAACCGGCCATCCAAACCCAAAATGCAACCGGATGCATCAGCAGTGGACTCTAATTTCACAGCAGTCCAGTTGAAAACAATATGGATTGATGTGAAAACAGTTATACAATCACCAATCAAAGATATACTCATTGTGTACTGTACAGCATTACATTTATTGCCATCAGCTGATAGATCTAAGTTTTGAAGCAATTACTTCAGCGATTCTCCATTTCATAATTTCAACCAACGAATTTAGAAATGTGGCGGGTATTGTGTTCCACACCCTGATCATTAGCATTCTTGCACGCGTGACCTTGATTTAGGCTATGCCTCATTATCATTGAATTTGATTTCGCGAAATTGCAGAAAAGGAATAGCCAACGCTCACTTTTTAAATGATTTATGGAATATTGTGTATGAAATATTACTTCTCAGTTACACGGTATTGCTATCCCTCCGTTCTATAACGTGAATTACTAGTTTCAGCATTTTGCCAACCTAATGAGAAATCACTACAAACGATTTAGGAAAACGGCCATCGACACCCAAACTGAATATCGCTGTGATGTTCCTGTGATACACCGCCTTTTCCATTTATTGTGACAAGCAGTTTCGCTTACTCATGAGAAACCCCGTTGATGGCAAGAGTATAGTGCCTAGGAACGAATCCACGAATAATAGAGTATTTATGCTTCCAAGCAGTCGGCTACATCCTGATATTGAAGATTATGTCGTTGAATTTGACGGATTAAGAATTTTCTGAGGTTAATGCGAAATTGGTGTTCTAAACAGAGACAGAATGCTTGCTTTGGTAAATCGACAATGTTGCAAAAATGCCAGTCTTTATTTTCCAATTTGGTAATGCTACGATCACATGTACTTTTTTATCAGGGTAGACCAGTCGTAATGGATAAACGATATTGTGCATCAAACTTAGACTGGTAACGAATGTCCTATTGTTTGGGTTGGCCAATCATGACTTGCTATTTTGAGTTGATGTGAGGAGCTACTCAAACTCAGGGAAACTGCTGCACGCACCTCTAACAGCTCACAATATTTGATCGTATTTATACTGAAGTGCTGATCCAGTTCAGTTCAGCTTCTACAACCATTAACCATGCACTATCGTGCACCGGTTTTGGTTTCTGTCTTCGGGCTACCCATTTGGATGAACATAAGGAGAAAGACAGGAAAGGTTGAAAGCAGGATCGAAGAGAAAATTTAGGATTTAATTGCACTAGTTTTCCAGAGAAATCGACAAGATGCACGAACGCCACTGTGTACGACACCCAGCCATATCACTCAGTGTCTCTAACCCTCGGGTATGATCATCCCGAGGTCCCCATCCAGAAAGCCCAAGGGGACGTATGTGACCCAGACTCCTGGTTAGGGTTTTCATTTATTCATGCCAGGTCTTAGCTTGACCACTGTTGACTTTCTTCCACCCACTACCTGTCTCAACAAACATCGCTCGCCGTGGCAAACTATTTGGTGACATGAGTAACACATGCCCCAACCAAAGTAATCTATCTTGCTCTGTACCTAACCTCAGTATTGTTCGTCCGGCCTCCCCACCAGATTCATGCAATGCTGCATAGACAGCGGTAATCGAACACCGACAGTCTATCTTTATCCTGTTTCCTTAATTATCAAGTTTCCGCGCCGTATAGTAAAACTGACCGAACTGCTGCAGGAATGGTACATTGATAAATGGAGCAAACAAATCTATTGTTTTGTAATAAAGTATCAGTGGTTCGGAGTATTTTCGCATTCCGATGGAGTATCAATGGATAATAATGAGATCACAACACCGATATTGATTGAGCAATACATGTTCATGGATCGGATTATATTTTGAATGCTAACCGGACGCAGAAACCAGTCAAAATGAATGGAATGATAAATCAAGGCGGCTTGGGACAGATCATGGATGCTTTTATCAGTGCGCAAAACAGGGATTCCGGCACGTTAATAAATCCGTCTTTTAAAGGTATGATATGAAGAGTCGGCCAAGTGAGTTCAGGTATTTGCAGAAAATATACTACTGTTTAACTCGCATTAAACACAAATTCAGTGTTTTTTCGTAGAATTCACATTAATCAAGTTTGCTGAGAGAGGTCGATATGAAAATAAGGAAAGTTGTTGATATTCCATGGAGCACTTGGAGAGAAAGATCAACTTTCTGACAGTGTACATGTACAATTAGCAGTTCGTTTCACGCTTCAATTCTGGTTTAATTTCGTAGATACAGCTTATCGTTACGCGATCTAATTTGCGTTAACATCCAAAAACACACCATGCAGATAACTCACCAACCGTATCTGTGGTCACCTCTTGAGGATTGTTACGGTTTTGAGATCTGTTAAATACAGTATTGGGAAAGCGTTTATAATTCCCGCCAGAAGAACCAATTTATGTGCCGAAGTGATTTCAGCATTAAATGAAACGTCAGACAGTTTATAATAATTAAAGTCTCTTGACTAACTTTCTACCTCCTTTAGAAGGTCGATTGGGCTGCATACGTTGTTGAGCTGTACGAAAGACAGTTCAGTAAACCAAGGAAATAAACCTACTTGTGATCCACCGGTATTTCAGGTTCAAAAACCTAAACAAAAGATAAAAGCTCAATGTAAAATCAAATATTCGAAATGGTTACGCAATTTATTACCACTGGGTTAGTTATTATGATTTTTCAAACTTGTCTGCGTTTAGAAAACTATGAATAATTAGGTCACTGCTGCTTGAGTTGATACGTATTAATCTAAGATTTAAAGAAAATCTTAAAGGAAAAAGTATGAATTGGCTTGGGAAATCCGGAGGACCGTAGACTGAGAATTATGGGTTACTGATACGGTACTATATGCAATTGTTATTTCCGACGGGTATTCTCTTCTTCAAACGGTCAAGTACCTCTTCCATCTATCAAGCACGTGTTTTCTCTGGAACAGAACAAAGTCACTCAGGGAGCCGGTAAATTGGCGGATGACTTTCAGAGCTGCAAATATCTCTGGCAGAAAGAATCCTACACTCTATATTTCGTAATTCTCAACATCCCAGGCGGACGGTCAGCCTGAAAGCATACGTGGTGATGGAACAACTATCAGTAAGTAGTTTCCTTGTGCCTGAGTCTGATATGAAAACGATATTTTCGCAAAATGGTTAGTTACTCATAGAACCATTTGGACGAACCGGAAAAACGGTAGGGCACATTTTTATGATCTTAACATCTGCCGTTTTCGGCTCGAACCAAGAGATAAAACTTCTGTTCTAATATCCTAGTGTTATGATTATTATGTTCGGATTACACAAAAGAACGTGGTTTCTCTCAAGGGTCAAAAATAGAGCGAATCACTGTGCGCAATATTGAAACTACGAATCATTTCATTATTTATCCTGCGTTCTTGTGTGAATTATTAGGCTAGTTCCAAATGAGAAATTTGATTATATTTATAGCAAATTACCGAAAGATACCCTCAAAGTTATGGGTCATTATCCTCGTCCTGTCTTGTGAAATTATAACACTAGAAGACTTGAAGTAGACTTTAAAATGATGAATATGCACACAAGTGTCACCAATAATGTGATCTGAGAATTTTGGCGTGAAAAGGTATCTGAAAGATGATCAGTCATAACGAAACACACTACTCCAAAGTAACTGTGAGCTACTAATAGATAAGTTTGTCATGCCTTCGATTCTTGAGTGCTTTGCACTAACTCGAAAGATCTTACTGAGGACAAATTCTGAGTGAAAAACGGATTAGCGCGTGTATGCTGTTGTATGTGCAGCCCCATTGTTACATGAGAATAAATTTCTATCTTAAATATAACAAAATGTTATTGGAATCATCTATAGCCCCAAAAGATTAAGCATATTAGTCTGACAGTCTAAGGAACGAAATTTTTTTAATCAGGATTTAAAAGGAAAAAGTCAAAATATAACTCCACAATAACTCCATAATTCAAATGTTTGAAAGGTCCTACGGAGCTCATAATGAGAACGTAAATTGGCAAACAAACTCGTTTTCAGTATGTCTTAATCATCCCATTACAACACAATAAGTATGACTAGTATCAAAGAAGGATTTACAGGGAAAAAGAGAGGGAAAGTAATTAACTATTCAAGAGTTTGTTTCAAAATTGGCCATGGAAGCTTGAGTGCTTGCACAAATTGTTTGTGAACCCACAGAGGGGGGTTGCGAAGACGCAACGCCTGGTCGTGCGGCCAACGTACTTTGCTCCACAGGAACAAAGGAAAGAGTAAACACAGAAAGAGGCGGCAGAATCGGGCACTCTATCCTTCAACCGTAATACACCAGCGGGCTAGATGCGAATCGAGTTTGAAGCTTAGCTGCGTAGGACGTTTTCTTGATGTTATTTAATAACCTTCTGTGCACTAGCTCTGCCAAGGTGTCACCTTTAAACGGCAAAGAAATGCATACAGACTTCTTCTCAGCAATTACCCTCTTGGGAAATGCCTCTTGTCGTTACATCATAGATTCCCCCTAACGCTCCGGATATCCATTCTGGATAAAGATATTCCGCACATTTTGGAGTTCTTCAACCAGCATGTCCTTCGTGCAAACTGACTCTATTGACCAAACAAAGTATGGGATTTTTCGTCATATTGAGTGTTACAAAGCTACGGAAATGAATGTATTTCCCTGTATAGAGTTAGGACGGGATGGTCCAGACACGTGCGGTTTCGCATTCTAGCCGCAGCGGAGGTAGTTTCCATCCGTCTTCACAACCTCCCTCTGTAGGTTCACAAACAATTTGTGCAAGCACTCAAGCTTCCATGGCCAATTATGAAACAAACTCTTGAATAGTTAATTACTTTCCCTCTCTTTTTCCCTGTAAATCCTTCTTTGATACTAGTCATACTTATTGTGTTGTAATGGGATGATTAAGACATACTGAAAACGAGTTTGTTTGCCAATTTATGTTCTCATTATGAACTCCATAATTCACGGCTACAAAAGTGCCCAAGATGTCTGTAAAAGACTAATGGGCAAACTGATTGCTCTGGCAAAATATGTTACTTGCCGTTTTCACAACCAATTCATAAACTCAAAACAGTGGAGAAGCGTTTCAAATTGTGCCTTATTCGGATTAAATGTGTACCGATATGAGGTTACGTCATTTGTCGATCTGTGAAGTTATTGGTTCATCATGGTCTCGTGATTGAGATCGTATTAATAGCGGCTCATCGTTCACAGGATTAAATCGCACAAATGCCAACCACGTTCGATTTACCACAGTCTGATTTCTTAGAATTGAATGTACAATTGTGCACTCAATAATAAAAAACGTAAAAAGAAACTGTAATGACACGGTTTGTTATGTTCAAAATAGAGGAATCGAGACAGCATTTTCGGTTATTTGAGCATTCAGTTCGCGTGTTAACACCGGAGTGATTTGTGTAATCAATTCAGCAAAATGCAGTTCAGTTCATCTGATATGTCTTTCCTGAAACATTTTGTCGGTAAGCAGCTCAGGAATTTCAGTCTACATTGTTTAGTTAGTTTTCCTTTCTTATATTCAAAAAATGCGACTGCTATGTTGAGTCATCTGCCATACAATTCAAGAAAATAATTTTATTGCAATTTGTTCCGGATATTTACGGAAATATTAC